GCGGGAGCGCCGCCGCACTCCCAAGTGGCGCACTCTCCAGTGCGCCACCGGGCCGGCCCTACAGAGGTCAAGTTCTAAAGTTAGAGCATTAAGCAAAAATTAAGTGAAAATTACTTTTGGAAATCTCTTACAGATAACCCACAAAGTACAATTATAATGTCTCTAAATTCATCCACTCTCAGAAAAGACTGCTGTTTCTTCAGTTGAGCACCAAAGTAAATATTTTTTAACCATAAGGTTAAAAAAATTACTGTTATATTTTGAATAACACTCAGCATTGCAAGATATCTGCGCTACAAGAAGCACCCTAGAAACAAGACTGGACGAGGGGGCAACATACAGATGCCTCCCAATATGCATTTGCTGCACAGCGCAAGCCCACTGGCCACATGTCATCTGGGTGAAATAACAGGCAGAATCACCTGCACTAGTAATGCAAACTGTAATTTTTTTTCTTTTTTTGATTCTACTCATATAATCAAATTTGTGTTCAGTTAAACATGTATATGACATGATTCTACTGATCATCTTTGTTGATCCAGCCGACCTTGGCCAATGTTAGCAGTTAAAGATGTCCTAGAACAAAAGACAGCAATGCCTTTGGCTATCAGAAGAGGCTGAATCACAGCAGTGAAATCCAGTAGTTAACTAAAGGCATTTATTTTTAAGGGAGAAAATAAACTGAAAACACGATTTAAAAAAAAAACAAAACCTCATAAATAAAATTAACACACATACTTCTGGAAAAATCTGAAGATATCAAAAATGCATAATATATTTATTTCCTTTACTCTCGGATGTTCATTTCTCATATTTTAACTTTTTTTCTTTTGGTTCCTGGCCAGTACTGGGATCCAAACCCGTGACATGACCTAGATGTTACCAGCACCACACTCTCTCAAGTGAGCTAACCAGCCAGCTCCATATTTTAACATTTGAAATTAGGAAGTCTAAAAATCAATATGTTCATTTAAAATGGTAGATTTTTTTCTTATTGGAAAAAGCTATATATCTTTTCTTTAATCAATAGCATCATAAAATTAAGAAGTATAACATGGGGTAAAATATGGAGAACAGGAATTTCAGTGTTTTACCCTTCTCCATACTACTACCACTGCCACACTCAAGACATGAAGACAGTGTGCTGGGGGAAGGGAGATGCAGCTCCCCCTTTGGTCAAGCCAGCAAGCAAACACAAAATAATTAGTACCATTATTTTAAACATCCATGAATTGTATTAAACATGTTATAACATCAAAAAGTAATCACCTTAATTGCCTGCTCTTGAAACATTGTTTAGAAATTAAAATAGGACCATTAAACAATTCCCATTCACTAGCTCAGTAAAAAAGAAGAAATTAGATTCTGGCAGACCCAGTATCTAAGCAATCAATAAACACTTTTAATCACACATGTGTTTCTTGGGAGAAATATGAAGACCAATCAAGCTTAGTATACCTTAAGTCCAGGGGCTTCACAGGCTTAACCGTTAGTATTTCTGAGTCTATAATAGTCTATACCAAAAAGAAATGGTTCCAGATTTCCCCAATTGCCAGTCATGTGATCATTATGGAGTCATAAACATCACTTCGGTGTAACAAAATACACTTGCAAGGGATTGGGATGGTGTGAATGTGGCTATAAAGGGAGCACCAGGGAGCCTTGGGGTGACAGAACCATTCTGTATCTTCACCGTGGTGATAGTTACAGCAAGCTACACATGAGCCAGAGCTACACAAAATTGTACACACAAATGCAAAAGAGTACACACAACACTGGTGATATCTGAATAAAATGTGGATGCACCCATGTCAGTTCCCTAGTTTTCATACTGTATTATAGTAACGCATGATGTTACCATTGGAGAAACTGTGTGAAAGGTACATAGAACCTTTCCATATATTTTTTCTGTAACTCTCTGTGAACCTATGATTATTTCAAAATATGAAGTAAAAAAAATAATTTAATAGGTTGCAACAAACATTTTTTAAAATAAAATAAAAACACTGCATAAAGTAAGGGTAAAAATTTGTTCAGCTGTATATGCACATACATTTAGGTGGGCAGCAGGTTGCAATGTAAACTGTATTATTGTGGGTTTTGGTCGAAGAAGGTTGAGAAATACTGGAACTTAAAGCTAATGGAAAGGAAATGAAAATGTTTCATTGTCTGAGCATTTTGGACACAGTTAATAATGATCAATATTTTCTCATTATTAACAATTCCACTACTAACAACCAAGTACTGGGCATAACATTAACTCATTTATTTCTATGAGGTAAATCCTACTACAATCCTCATTTTACAAATGGGGAAACCAAGGCACAGAAAGGTTACAACACTTCTTCCAGAGATAGTAAATAGTAGAACCATGATGTGGACACAGGCACTCCAGCTCCAGATTCCATGCCCTCAGTTACTATGCTTTACTGCTTACCTCATGTCATATTTAGGGGAGCAACTTCAGTTCACCTCTAATCTTTTATTCTGGATTACTTCACTATAGTCTACCTAAGTTTTTAAAGCTCAATGGACACAACAGATAAAAAAATCAACAAATATCATAAACGCACAAATACTTAAAGATTTAACAGATGGAAAAAGAAAAAGAAAATACCTTTAGTCTCCAATTATCTCCTACTTCAGTTTTGATTCTGTTTAGCCAATTTTCATCAAAATATGCAGGATCTCTGCAAATAAGGAAGAGCTAGTATATTAAGATCATGTAACTATAAAGCTAACAAAAAACAAAGAAAATTGAATCCCATCAAATAACATCACTTAACTGCAACATAAAAATGTATCTGCCACATATTAGCCACTAAATAACTCAGGGTGTGAGACCAGATGCAATTACAGATTTCTCTAAAATCCACTTGGCTGCTACCAGCTCATTAAAAAAAGATATACTGTTTAATTGAAAACAAACTAAAAGGAAAAAAATGGTAACATACAGTTAATACATTTTAAAAACAAATTATAGATAAATATACTAACCTAAAATTAACTTAATGTAGCTACCACATGAATATCTAAAACAGTCAAAATCACTGACACACATTTTAAAATAAACATAATAAATACATCAAGAAAGTTAAGCCTCCACAACCAGGCAAGCAACAGAGCACACCAAACCCACAGTGGTTAGGAAAGTTCTTGCCGAGGTAGACCAACGCAGCAAAATACTTACCACCAAGCTACACTCCCTGGAAGGGAAATCTCAAAGCAATTAATTTGAGACACAACAGAGAACATATGCCAAATCCCCTCAGAGAAAAAAAAGACATTATATATCAGTCCTGAAAAATAAGCAAGTTTAAGAAAAATGTCTGTCCTGGTTTTTTTTTTTTGTTACTTTTTCTTTCTCGATAATCAATAGCAATTTCTCTCCATTCATCTGGAAGAATGTCATATACAAATATGATGACTCATTTGATTACCCTATAGAAATACATTGTCAATTCTTTGTATTCAATAAACCTTAAAAAAAAATAAAATTTAAAAAAAAGAAAGTTAAAGTAAGCTTTTCAGTTAACATTTCAATGACCTCCACATCACCTAATACTTCAAAGGTCCCCAATAACATCACTAAATTTCAATTTCTTCAAATAATATAAAATGAAAACTTACTTTTTCAGATATAGTACTAAGCATTACACAAAGTTAGACACCATCTCTGTTTGAAAAAGGCTTAAAATCTAAGATAACACTAGTGTATACAAACACACTGAAAGGATAGAACCTGTATACTTATCCTTTTTCCTAGGAAAACCTCCCATACTTCTAATAAACACTAAAATCAAAATAAAACTTTTCAAACCCAGCATGAACCTCATTTTAAAGTTTTTGAAACTGATGCTCTTAGAAATTAGATTATTTGTCCAGGACCAGAGATAGAATATCGGTTTGTCATGCTCTAGCAATTGCTAAGTCCAAAGACCTTTCCATAACACCACAACTACCTCTATTCACCCCCCAAAAACAGAATGGCAGTGAAATAGACATGTTAGGAGAAATCTACATTTCAACTTTCACTGTCACCCAAACTGAGAACTAATTTTATTCAAACTAGCTTTAAATGAAGCAACATGCTTAGAATTTTTAACTTTTAATATGAAAAAAAGAAATATGGACTTAAGTAATTAAAAGAATATGAAAAATCAATTACAACTCAGATACCTCTACAGAAATCTGTTGACTATTTTTGAAGCCTTTCATATCACTAGAGAACATACTCACTTTGTCTATCCATCTACTTTCAAAAACAGCTTTATTGAGATATAATTCACATACCATATACAATTTACCCATTTTAAGTACACAATGCATTTTAGTATATATTACAGAGTTGTACAACCATCACCACAATCTAAACTTGGAGCATTTCCATCTTTCCAAAAGGAAACCTTATATCCACTAGCTGTCACTCCCCATTTCCCCCTTTCCAGTCTCTGGAAATCACTAATCTACCTTCTGTCCCTACGAACTTGCCTATTCTGGACATTTCATATAAATGAAATCACACACTATGTGTCCTTTTGTGTTTGGCTTCTTTCACTTATCATGTTTTTAAGATTTATCCATATTATAGCATGTATCAGCACTTCATTCCTTTTTACAGCTGAATAATATTCCATTTATAGGTATACCACATTTTGTTAAACATTCAACAGCTGATGTACATTTTTGGGTTGTTTCCACTTTTTGGCTATTATGAATAATGATACTCTGAACATCCGTGCATCAATTTTTAGGTGGACATATGTTTCATCTGGGTATACGCCTAGGGGTGAAACGGCTGGGTCCCATGACAAATCTATGTTTAACATCTGAAGCACGGCCAAACTGTTGTCTAAAGTAGCTACATAGTTTTACATTCCCACCAGCAATGTATGTGGGTTCCAATTTCTCCATGGTCTTGTCAACACTTGTTATTATCTTTTTAGTTACAGCCATCCCAGTAGGTGTGAAGTGGTACCTCACTGTGGTTTTGATTTGCATTTCTTCAATGGCTAATGATGTTAAGCATCTTTTCATGTGCTTATTGACCACTTCTATATATATCCTCTTGTATATATCCTCTGGAGAAAATTCTATTCAGATTATTTGCACACGGAAAAATTGGGTTGTATTTTATTACTGAGTTTTAAGAGTTCTTGTTTTTCTCATTTTAATATTCAGGATATAAGCCCCTTATAAGAAATATGATGTGTAAATATTTTCTCCCATTCTGTGAACTGTCTTTTTGCTTTCTTGGTGGCTATTTTGCACATAAAGATTTTTAATTTTGATGAAGTTCAGTTTATCAATCTTGTACTTCTGGAGTCATGTCTAAGAAGACCTTGCCTAATCCAAGGTCACAAAGATTTATGTTTTAAGTGTTTTATACAGTTTCAGCTCTCCTATTTAGGTCTGTGATTCATTTGTATGTGGTGTAAGGAAGGGTGCTAACTTCATTGTTTGGCATGTAGATATTCATACCCATCTATTTTTGTATAAAGCTTAATTTAATGTCTTTAACTGAGGTTCTTCTGTTATTAAACAAGCAAAACCAATTTGAGCAAAGTAGTGTTAAGAAAAAAAAAAGGGAAGAAAGAAGGAAAGGCAAGTTACTGGAGTATCACTGGGGTTGTTATATACTAACCCACACAAAGTACTGGAATAAGGAACTGGACAGTATTCTGACTTTCATCTTTGTTTCTTTCTGGCCATCTACACCGTTTTTTCTCTGTAGACCAACTTTTTTCTGTTTCTCCACACACAATGCTGAAAGTGGCTGCATATGAAACCAAGCAGGTATGCCACCTTGATTAAGCCCCTCAAAACTTAGATGAAAGTGAGCTGTGGCCTTGGTTCCTCAAATGTGAACTGATTTAGAATCTGGAAGCTGAACTCAACAATGAGCCATTTAAAAAGTGAGTATGAAAAAGCAGCTGAGCAAGCAGGGACGTAACTTAAGCAATGAAGAGGGCCCTAAATCAGAGCCACCAGACTTTAAGGATCAAAGGCAATATCTTGACATGTATCCTTGAGCCTTGTTTTTTACAGGGACTGAGACTCCACCAGATGGTCAATGTTGACCAAATGCTGACTGCAAGAACCCCAGACTGACTGGAGCCAGAAGACTGATGATCAGAGATCCAGAGATGTTCCTCTGTCTTCTGAGATTCAACCAATCAGAAACATCCACAGGCTACTCATGCAGCTCGGACCTCAACCCACAAAGTTTCCTTTAAAAATCCTTGCTTGTAAGCTACAGGGGAGTTTGGGTTCTTTCAGCATTAGGTGCTCATTCTCCATTGCTGGCATCACACAATAAATGCCTATTTTCCATCGCTGAAACTAGGTGTCAGTGTTTTGGCATAGCTGTGTGTGGAGTGCGGGGACACACGTTTGGTTTGGTTATACAGACATGTTCTTTATCACTTCAGTTCAAGCGATTAGTTTAAAGACCGGCTGTCACTCAGACCCAATTCAAAACCTAAACAGTGCAGCTAGAGTCTCTTTTTCATCCCTGGTCTAATCATATGTGGCCAAAAGGATGAAGAGGTGCAAGTAAGACACATACAACTTTGGGGGGGAAGGGAAATGGACCACACCTATCAGGAGAGGGATGATTGCTGTAAACCGGGCAGACAGCCACCAAAAGTGTTCTCTGTGCTTAAAAACTCTTAGAAAAATAAATAATCCAAAGAAAAACAAATAAAGTGAATTCTATTAAAATATTAAAAATAAATTCAGAAGTTAGATAATATTCAATATTATTTTTGATAAATAATCTAAAAAGCTATAATGCAAAAAGCACAATCATTGGCAATCAAGCATTAACCTTTCCAACTTTGAGACTCATATGGAGGACAATCTGTGAATCTGGTGCTGTGTGACTGATGAGTACCCAAAGCCAGAGGAACTGAACTTACTAACCAGTAGGAGGTTCGCACAGCTAAAAGATACTTTTATTTCAACAGAGAGTCTCTTATTTAAAAGAAAAAATGCTTTAAAATGTCTAAGAGATTACATACTCCAAGAACTCCTATGTTATGGAATATTTCATTTGCAATTTAGAGTAATACTTCTTATGAATAAAAAAAAAAAACCTCAGTAAAGTCGATAAAATGCTTCATATCAGCATCATGACCGGTTTGGGTCAACTGCCAAAACAAACAAACAAACAAACAAACAAAGTTTGCTTACTCCTTAAAAGATTACTACCAAATCAAAATCTCAGAATGTTGTTTGAAATAGGAAGGGAAGACAAAAGCTGTTGCTACTATCAGCTACACCCTGTATTACACCAGTAATACATATATCAATAATATACCAGGAACTTCACATTCACAAAGGCATTGCAAGGAAGGTATTATCATCCTTATGTTACAGTTAACAAATATCAGACTCAGAAATTAAGTGCTTTTCCCATGTTCAATTGTATAGCTAAGTGACAGAGTTGATAGCATAATCTCTTCTGTTAAAACAGATCAGTAGAGTTCAACACATAACTGGTTCTGGCAAAACAACACTGAGGTCCTGTGGGTGGGTAATTATTTCCTTCATGCTCAGTAAACTTGATCACAAGTAGAAAAAGACCAACATAATTCAAAATACTCTATGTTCATTAAGGTCAGGCATTTGTTCTCATTCACTGCTGTACTGCCCAATACCTCATCTGGCACACAGTAGCTTC